TTCCTTCTGAGGGCCATGAGAGGAAGATATGTTGCAGGCCTCTGTGCCTGGCTTACAGACAGCCATCTTCTTTCTGTGTCTATGTGCATGTTTCTGCCTGTATTGATTCCTTTAGAATCCTCCAGAATTGAACACAACATATTTAAACACAAGTATGTTCATATGTCTTTCAGTAATACTGTTAAATGTTCACAGGTAGAAGATGTGATCCAAAAAACAAAACATAGGAGATTAGTTGAACTCAGTAATGTTCTTATCTCAGTGGAATCCATTCACATGCAGATTTTGGTTGAAATGATTTTTGAAAAGTTAAGGAGATGGCTTCAGAGGTATGTTAGTGATGGGCCATGCTTCTTGACAGGGTCACATAGAATCTAAAATCAGATGCTTTGTTAAAACAATTGACTCATTTCAGGTATATTTAGGATGCCACATAAATAAAATTTTTTATTATTTTTTTGAGACAGGGTCTTACTACATAGTTCAGACAGGCTGGTCTCAAACTCACAGGGATCATCCTGCCTCGACTTCCCAGGTGCTGGAATTACAGATGTGTGTCACCACATTTTCAGGAGTTAGCTCAGTGAGTTTTTATTTGAAAACACCATCTCACTTTGAACATTTGATTCTATTCTCCATTACCCCAGAAGGGTCCCTCCATGCCCCATTTGATTACAACCACATCAAGAAGATGCTGATCGACTGCTCCTAGGGCAGAGGAGGTGAGCCAATCCCAGCACCCAGGAGGAGGCTCCCTGCTGCCATTCCACTGCTCCTAGGGCAGAGGAGGTGAGCCCCATGGGCGCCAGCAACAACCCTCCTCACCGTGGAAATGAGGAGACATGTAATCATGCCTCAAAAACAGACTTCCAGATCACCTATATCAACCTCAAAGGGAAAGGAGATGGAACAATCTAATACTCAACCACCTGGACTCCCCAAACTGGCAACAAAAGAGGATATGGAAAAAATGAAATCAGAAATAATTTCTCAGATAACAGCAAAGATTGTGCCCATAGTGCAAGACATGATTAATAAATCTAGAGA